TGGCTGGCGCCTTAGCCGCTTGAGCCACAGGCGCCGAGCCTCTTATCTGTTACCTTACTTGGCCTTTGCAACATATTTGAAATAAACAGAACAAATATTTTAGCTTCACTATTCTTTTTTTTTGAGACAGGAGCCTCAAGCTGTCACCCTGGGTAGAGTGCCGTGGCATCTCAGCTCACAGCAACCTCCAACTCCTGGACTCAAGTGAATCTTCTGCCTCTGCCTCCCAAGTAGCTGGGACCACGGGCGCCCGCTACAACGCCCGGCTATTTTTTGGTTGCAGCCGTCATTGTTGTTTGGCGGCCCGGGCTGGATTCAAACCCACCACCTTGGGTGTACGTGGCTGGCGTCTTAGCCACTTGAGCCACAGGCGCCGAGCCAGCTTCACTGTTCTTTATTTGAACCCCCTATGGTCAGATACTTTTAATATTTATTTATTTACTTACTAACTTACTTATTTACTTACTAAGGAGACACAGTCTCACTCTGTTGCCCAGGCTAGAGTGCTGTGGAGTCAGCCTAGCTCATAGCAGCCGCAAACTCCTGGGCCCAAGCAATCCTCTTGCCTCAGCCTCCTGAGTATCTGGGACTACAGGCACCCACCGCAAAGCACAAAGCCCTGTCTGGCTAGTTTTTCTATTTTTAGTAGCGCAAGGCTCTTGCTCTTGCTCAGGCTGGTCTCCTGCTTCTGAGCTCAAGTGATCCTCCTATCTCATTCTCAGTGCCACAATAGAGATATAATTAGAGCCACATATGTAATTTTAAATTTTCTAGTAGTCACACTAAAATATGTCAAAAGAAATAGATGAAATTAATTTTAGTAATGGTTACTTAACACGATATATTCAAAGTAACATCATCTCAACATATAATCAACATAAAATGATGATAATGATTACTTTGGGGAAGAGTGGTGACTGAGTCTCATTCTGTTGCCCCAAGCTAGAGTGTTATGGCATTAGCCTAGCTCATAGCAACTTCAAACACCAGGCAGGGTCCAAGCAATCCTCCTGCCTCAGCCTCTCAAGCAGCTGGGACTATATATACCTTCCACAATGCCCAGCTAATTTTTCTATTTTTAGTAGAGATGAGGTCTTGCTCAGGCTGGTCTGGAACTCCAGGGCAAGTGATCCTCTTGCCTTAACCTTTCAGACTGTTAGGATTACAGGCATGAGCCACAGAGCACCTGGCCAACATAAGATTATTGAGACTACTTTGTGTGGGTGTGTATTAAATCTTTTAAACCTTAGCATATCTTAATTAAGACTAACCACATTTCAAGTCATTTTCCTCCTTAATACCCACTGATGGTAGGTCTACAATTTTGTATAGAAAAAAAATATCCAGTTTCCTCAGCATTCGCTTACCCTTAAACCCATTTACATTAAAAACATCGTAACCTAAATCCATTTAAAAAACTGCTCAGGCTCGGCGCCTATAGCTCAATGGGCTAAGGCGCCAGCCACATACACCTAAGGTGGCGGGTTCAAATCCAGCCCGGGCCGCCAAACAACAATGATGGCTGCAACCGGAAAAAAAATAGCCAGGCGTTGTGGCGGG